GGGGAGAGAGAGAGAGAGTTAGAGTCGATCGAACGAAAGAGGCGCGCTGCCAGGGATCGACGATTTTCGCGATCGTTCGAATTTTCGTCCATCAAACTGACTGCGTTTCGATGGCTGGCTGGCTCCCCCTTCCCCCCTTGCCACCCCATCCACTATCGTTACGCTTGGTGTTTAAAGTCGAAGAAATTGGCGCGGATCAGGGACGAGAGCGATTTCGGCGTAACAGCCAAGTAGTAACGGCCCTCACGCTCCGATTCGGCTTTATACGCCGTCGTTACCGAAAACGCTTGCATCTATTCAATAAAGCCTCGCGTAATTTAAGTTTTCGTCTAAGCGCACGCATTACGCTCCCGCGAATACCTTGGATTTCTCGTCTCGGATTTTCCTCACGCTCCGCAGCTTCGGTCTGGATGCAAGATCTCCCGATCTGCGGTACCCGATGCAATTCCTTCGAATAAATGTATAATAAATGCCGCGATGTGTGCAACTAGCGAGATTAACTATCGAGCGCTGGGAAAGATATCGTGAATCACCCGGTAATCCGCGAGAATCACCAGCCATTCGATTTTTTATTAGGAACCCACCGTGAAACTCCTCTTCGTGCCTGTTTATCGTTACTCTATAATTTTCGAAAGCGGCGCAAAATACGCTTCGCGATTGCGAAAGAGGAGAGAATTCCATGTAACGTGAAATTTACTTCTTTCTTTTCCCCGTGCGGGAACAAACTGAATTGCAGCCAGAAGGTGGTTGAGGGGGACGGTCGAATTGGCAGGAGCGAAGCATGGCGCTTACGTGGGAACTTAAATTACGCAAATCGTCATTGAATAGACGTAAATGTTCGGAGGCTGCATGTAAATTCGAGTCGAAGCATTACAACTCTTGTTCTTATAAAAGCTCATTGGTATGTACGTTCGATAGATGTGTAAGGTCAAGTGAAATAATTGAGAGTTTTTTTATTAAATTAAATAATAAAGCGATATACAATTGAGATTTTTAATTTTGGTGTTTTATTTTGATATTTTTAATTGAGGGGTTTTTATATATAATTGGTGTTTTAATCATTCTCTTCAATCATTTTTGACATATAACTCTTATTACTCAATATAATAATATGTATAATATTTTTAGTATTGAAAAATCGTTATCTCCTTTATCGAATAGTTTTAATTATCTCACTTAATTTTCTTAATTAATAAATGGAAATAAATTGATAAAGCGTGAACTTTATTTTATATGTAAATGAAATAATGAACTGCTAGACAGAAAAGCAATATAAAATTGTTTTTTATTTTGAGAAAAAAGCTATCAAAGTTAGTAAAGTTAATTTAAAATTCAATCACATTATCATAGCATTTTTTAACGGTTTGATAATGGATAATATATAAGTCGATAAAAATCGAAGCTTCAATAATATTTTACTTTCTTTTTATCGCTCTGATAAAAAGAACTGTCGCGAATTTCATGTACGAACGAGTATCGAAAGAGCCGAGTTTATTGATGGACAATTGTCTCGATTTTTAATACGTCCGCGCGAAATTTTAGTTTTGCAGATGCAATGAATTGGCGAATTAGAGTGAATCGATAAAGTTTTAGTTTCACAAAACGTGTGTAAATTAGTGGATTAACGAAGT